CTGATATCCACTGTTGGTTTATTTTATTTCTTTTTTTTATTGTTGTTCAAGTACAGTTGTCTCCATTTTCACCCCACCATGTCCCCCTGCCCCACCGATCCCTGCCTCTCACCCTTGAAACCACCCCCTTTGGCTTTGTCCATGTGTTTTACTTCATTATTTGTGAAGCTGATCTTATTTAATAGGACTAATGACCATTTATGTTTCTTTCCTTATTCATTACCTACTGATAGCCTTCGACCATTTTTTCTATTTTTCTTACTTGTTCTTTATTGGTCTTTAACAAGAGCAATTTTTGGCAGCTTATACCTAACATGCATTGAGTGCTATAAGTCAGGCCGCTTTAGGTGCACTATGTTTAATCCCAACCAATTAGGTAAAAGTGATCTTTCCCGTCCTCATCTTATAATGAGGCATCTGAACCACAGACGGATTAAGTAGCTTACCTAAGTTAACATAACTAGTACATTTAGTGTATTAAGGAGATTAAAAATTCATCACATATATTATAAGCACAATTAACCTATCAAAATATGTGTTGAAATTGCTGTGGTTGGTTTATCCTTCATCAATTAGTTTTATTTGTAGTAGATTTTGCCTGTTAAGACTATTTGACTCTATTGCTATAAATAAATTGACTCTATTGCTTTTATAGTTTCTGCTTTTGATATCTTGATCACCTGAAAATTATTTTAAATAAATATAATCCAAACATATATAAACATTCAGACAGTAAGGAAGGATATAAAACAAATAGTTAAAGTACATGTTTTCCCTTTCCATAAGCTATGGTCTTACAAAGAGAAGTATCTTATTTTCACTATTTATGTTTTTATTTCTTTTGATGGTGGCCCTCTGACTCTGAATAATATGCATACATCTCCATTTCTTGATTTACCAAATCTACACGGTAGATACTGATTTAGTATTATGAAAGATGTGGTATTTTAGTTAATTTATCCCTTCCTTTCCTTCTCCCCTCCTCCACCTAACTTTTACAAGAAATATCAATTTTCACTGTGAGTACCTGTATAACTTTAATATACTCCAACCTCTATTTCTTGATTTATCAACTTTCAATGGTATGCTTTAAATAAGTGGTTCATTCATAACAGGGGAAATCATATGTAAAAATGGTTATTCTCTATATTCCTTGGATCATAAAATGTCATATTTATGAAGGAATGTTTCACTAGAAGCAGGTCTATCTTTACTCATTTTAATAAAACCAGAAGATCTGTGTGAGTAGAATAAAAGATATAAATATAAAAGATTATATGAATTATTCTCAGTATATATTTATTTATATAGCATAGGTTATATAAATTATGGAGGCTTTCTAACTAGATTGCTCTTTTTACTGCTCTGAATAATTTTGTGATGTATATAGAACAATTATACTTCCCTTGCACAGATAAGGAAACAAGCACAGAGAGTTCATGGCTAAATGTAGTCACTGCAGAGGTCTTGCAGGTTTTGTTTGATTTTGTTTCTATCCAGCATTCACCCACTTTTCCTTTTTGCAGCATTATCACCCTAAGCAATAATCCCACTGTTCCCCAGACTTAGTTCATGTGCTTCCAAATGAAACTGATTACACCTTTGGACTCATGAAGTGTGTGGCTAGACCTGAGCAGTACCTTTCCCTGGCTGCAGTGACTAGTTCCCAGTGGGTCTGGAATGGCATAGAAATCTATGAGCTATACAGAGATTTGGGCTGGAAATTGTGAGACAGAATTTTTCTCTATTCTTAAAGAATGACGCAGCCCTAAGAGTGAAGGACATCCTGTGACCACATAAGGGAGCTAAATCTAAAGAAGCTGAGTGAGAAAAGAGAGTCCTGTTCACCCCCACAGGCCCTCTCCTGGGCCATTTCTACTCCTGCTGTCCAGGTGCCTCAGCCAACACTGACTCCCCTTTTGCTTACCTGGTTTGGGTTGGTTTCCTGTCAACTGCGATAACTGCACCAGTAATTTCTGGCAACCCTGACACCTGCTCTCTCGACTTAAACCTAGGGTTCCTTCTCCTTGACCAGGCTGCCTCTGAAAGTAATGTCTTGGTGAAGAATCAAAACCACACATCCTGAGACCTCTTCAGTTTATCTTGTACTTTTCTTCACAACCTACTAAACAATCTTTAGAAATGCAAATCCATTACATGGAGTTCAGTCCTGCATGAACTAGTATACATAGGTTTGGGCATGGCATTCTCTATGTACCTGAAATAGCAGTGTGGGTCAAGCTAATTTCAAAACTCTTATATTAAATAAAGTTACTTTCATTTTAAGATGAACAATTCTGGATCATTTAACCCATAGGGATACCACTCACCACCTGCTGCTGTATACAAGAGAGTGGTTATTAAGTTCAATTATAAATAGTGTCTGAAAATCAGAGTACACTAACATGTAAAATTGTAAAACTACTCAAAGTTCAGAGGATGATTTTCAAGCAAGGAGATCTGCTGGTGGGAGATGGACAGTGAATGGAAGTGTGTGGCCATTCTGAAGGGTCTCTGGAGGCACTGCCAAGGGCCACTGTGACTAATGATTTGGGTTGTTTATCACACTGGATTTCTCACCAAAAATGTGTAATTTTTCTTTTCCATGGTACAGAAGAGCTCTATCACTATTTCTAAACTTAACCCCCCCACCACCACAAAGATGGAACCAAAACAGAGAAAACATGGAAGAGGTTTTCATCCATTCTTATGCATTTCAAGTACATCGACAGTGTGGAAAATGTTACTACCTAAACAACAAATACACACAGAAAGCCATGGTTGCTATGCTGTACTGGAAGGGGACTAATGGAGGTCAGGGCATGGTGAGGGGTAGGCCAGTGGGTCCTGAAGGAAGAGATGGTGTAAGAGGTGAAAGACTTGATGAGGCAGAAACAGAGGCTGGGAGAAGCGACACTGTGGTGCTAGGACATGAAGGTACCCGCCATGCATGGTTTAGCATGCAGGGAGAGAAGAGTAGAGAGACAAATATTCAAACTTATAGTCTGAAAGTCACAGAAAACTTCAATAATTTTTAAATAGGGTTTTTCTCAAAGGGAACTAGAAAATAGGTGAAAGAGAGAGTGTAGAGCTGGGGCACTAAAAGGATGGTGCATGTGCAAGTAGGTATACAAAAAGAATATCATGTGCTGTACACTAAGTGTAAGAAGCATGTGAGCAAGAACAGTGAAGAGTACGGAACATGGATGACTGCGTGAGGTGGAGGCACCGGTGGGCAGACAGCCCGTGCCCGGGACAGTGAGATCTGTCCACTCAGTGGAGATCAGGGGAGGCTCTGGTGGAGTCCAAGGCAGCAGGCAGAAGAAAGCCTGCGGATTCAATCGTGTAGATGTTATTGTGTGCGTCGGGTATTCCTAATGCAAGATCACCTGTACTTTAAAGATGGAATTCTTTAGAGTCACCTCGATTGCCAAAGCTGGGGAGCACAAGGTTTTAGCTAATGTGGCAAGCATCTCCTGCGGTGAAGGCGGAGATCTTGATGGGTAGGGAGGGGAGTAGCAAAGGTACTTCCACTAATAACTGCATGTGGACCTGAGGTGACACTAAACAGACTGTTGAAAGCCCCCCTGGCTTGTGCTAAATCAGCAGCATCAACATTTGTCCCTGAAGTCTGCATTTTTAATGCAACTGCTGCAAATGGAGGTGCTGCCCCGGAAAGGCCAACGTTCCCTGGACTGTGGCTAAGTGATTCTTCCCCAGAGCTTTCGTACATCAGTGGTTTGGCTCTTTGCTCTGCTCTTTATAACTTGGCAGCTCAGACAGTGAAAATAGGAGACTTGGCAGATTTTTTAAAAATTTGAAAAGTGTGTCTTTAATACTATTTGTATTTCTTGGACAGGGATTCCTGATGTCCTAATTAATTTTCTTGGTGTTTCTTTAAAGCATTCTTCAGCATTTGTGAGCATTCTTCTGCCATGGCTTTTGCTCTTAATTTGCTCCCATATTTTCCTTTAATGCAAGAAGGGCACTTTTTGGTGGCCAGGTGAAACATAAGTTTACTTAGAGACTCTTACTTGCAAGTTGCTGAACTGAGGGGCAGTTCTGGTCCATCTTTACAAAATGTCAGCTGGCAGGAAACAGGAGCAGAGCTGCTTTGCTGTGTCCTCCCTCTTGTGATCTGATTTCTAAGAGTCCTTTCTTATTGCATAACACACTTTCAAACATATTTGAAGTAGTGAACATTTTGAATTGAATCCTGTGGTCACATTTAATTGTTCGATAGTTACTTTCCTGTGGTTATTTGACAGTTGCCCAAAATGGTGGTCTTAATATAAAACCAATAAGAGACCTCTGACACAGGGAAAGCCACTGAAGTGGCATTTATTAAATACAAATGGTGTCCACTGAGGGGTGAGGAAAGAGCGTTAGTTCTCATCTCAAAAAGAAAATTCTTTCAGGATGAAGGAAGAATTATGAGAGCTCTTAGTGAAGCTCTGTCGGTTTCACTTGTCATGTGATGATTTAAAGTTGCATGTGTTCCTGTAACACATCATAATTGCATCGAGAAATGAAAAGAGTATTCTGACTCTCAAGTTCTTTTTCCAATTGTTTGCCAAGATTACTATAAATATAATGGTTTCTATTAGTCTATTAACTGGAAAATGACTCGTTTAAGGAACATAATTAAATGATGCTGATTTGAAATTAAGAAAGCTCGCTTATGTGCATTTTAGGAACCCTAATTGAATCAGCTAAATATGTACATTGAGAAAAAATAAATAAATGTTACCTTCTCCATAGTGTGCTATAACAGGCTGAAATCATGAAACCTATTAACAGAGTTAGACATTAGATGCCTAATGAATTATACTCAATACTGGAGATTTTCTTTTGTAACAATTCTTTGTAAGCTAAGCTAGAATTTGTCTGTATCTCTATGAGATAATACAAAATATGCAATTAAAACCAGTAGGAATTATCACCAAGTGGAAGCCTATTTCACATCACCAAAGAAACATTGGCCGAATTCTGGTACTTACTATGTTAGCACTATGGCCACTGCATCATTCAGCACACTCTCCCCAAACAAGAGTGTGTACAGGTCGGGGTCAACATGCAGTTCATGGAAGATGGCCAGCACTGTCACTAGGAAAAAACACACACAAACATGCAGAGTCAGCTGAGACACAGCCATGGAACTGTACCTGGCTGTGGTCACTCAGGAAAGCATTCACTCAATGCTTATCTCAAATCCGTCCTCTATACCCACAAGAGAGCTTTACTCAAAAACTCATCTGATAGGTGACTCCTCTTGCTTAGAGACTTCTCTGGGCTCCCACTGCTTATAGAGAAAGTCTGAGCTTCTTGTCCACATTTTCTGTAACCTGCACCCTGTTTACCTCCCAGTGTGTACCTCTGCACTCCTGCCTGCCTCTCCTTTGATGCCTCTCTCAAATCACACTGAACTTACCATAATTACCTCCCAAGAAAATGGTGAGGTTTTTTAACTACCTTTGCATTTGGATTCCCTTTACCAAGACAGCAATTTCTTTCCCATCCATGCGCTACCATCCCCTCATTTCTTAAATACATAAACACACACACATTTGCACACACACACACACACACACATTCTTGCTATAAAAAAACTTGATTCAATCTTTTAAAGCCTCTCAAGTGTTTCCCTAGGCCCCTGACTGCTGAGACCTGTCTCACTCCTTTTTTGATCCCAGCATTTGCATTAAATCACAGAACTTATCACAGAAGAGACTGTGAGCTCCCTGGGGTAGGACCAATCTTTGCAACACAGGGCACTTGGCAAATGCTCAGGAAGTACTTGATGCATGAATGACCAAGTGAATGAATGAATAAATAAATGAATGTTTTGCAGTGGTCTACTCCAATGAAGCAACAGGTACTTGGCACCTGGCTCTCATTCTCTCCTGAGGTCATACGCATCTGCAAAGAGGGACTCGATGTTCCTAAGAGCAAGACCTAAGGACATATTTCTGGTGGGCTGCCACAAACTCGAACGAAGCACCTGTGAGTACATCAGGACAGGAAATAATCACATGCTGATTATCTGTGCTCATCAAAACTGTGCAGTGTCTTGTCATTTGAAACAGTTATGCAAAGTGTGAACAGCCATCATTAGGAAAATGATTCATTGAGTTGATTGCCAAAGGGGGAAAAGGGTGATTGAAAATAATACTGATGGTAAATTTTTAAGGCAGAGTGGGCATTTTAATTTCTGTTCTTTCCTATTTCATGGACTGTGAAGTTAATAACTATGTTGTACAAAAGAGTGCTATGAGGGGGAAAAGCTGAATTTGAAGCTTTTATAAGTAGGGTCAAGAAGTTTGGTGCTTGTCCTGAGTGAAGTGGAGCCACGGAAGGGTTTAGTCAGTAGGGTGACACTATCTAGTTCAAACTTTAGAGATGAACTCAGGCAGCAGGGCAGCGAACAGAACAGATGTGTGGCTAGAAGGCTTCCCAAATGTCCCCGCAAGAGAGAATCTGAACCAAAACAGGAAGAGTCCTTGATTCAGGCTCCCAAACTCCTGTTCATCCACCACACTGACTTCTCATAGGTCAATGGCCACATGCATTGTACTTTACCCATTCATTGGATTTCATCCTCTCTAGCAGAGGGCTAGAATATAGTAAGCCTTTAATGAGTGAATGAATAAAAAGAAATATCAGGCAGGGTAAAGCACAGGAGACAATGCCCCCACAGTATTTATGATGGAGAATTGGTGAGGCTTGGTGCTAGAGACAGCAGAGAGTGACTCTGGTTTTCAATCCTGGGCAATTGGGAGATGGTGCTGCATAAAAGAAATTAGTTTGTAGAACAGGGGGATCCAGTAAGTTCAATTTCAGACATACTGACTCAAATAGCCAGGTGGAATTTCAAGTGGAAATTTAAGTAAGAAAGGTAGAAATAAAAAACTGAAATAAGGGACATAAAAAAGAATTTGGAGGCTATGAGCATATAGACGAAACACAAGGCCACAAGAGCAGCAGAGGTTGCCAGAGTGAGGTATACAGAAAGAGAAGGGAGCTCATGAGAGATCTTATGGGGACATTTACAGATAACAGGTGATAGGGAAAAAGAAGCATGAATACACCTGGTATATTTGCTAGACCTGACCCTAAGCATGAAAAAATCAGCCGGAAATCACAACTAGCATGAATTTCTGTAAACATATTTTTACTTACTAAAAATTGTCCTAGAAGAAGGAGTATTAAACTTAACGAGATTGGGGATAGCAGAGGCAACAGACACAAAACATCATGAATTGGCATGACAATTAGCAAGATCCCATTTTACCATAGAATCAATTTCATGATTCTAGCTAAACAGGTCCTTAATCATGATAGGTAAAGTCACAGATGGTGGTGGGAGGGGCAGAAATGACCTCTGTTAAGTAATCTCTCTCTGTGTTGGACAGAGTCAGGACCCTGCATCTAATCAAAACAAAGATGTTTCAGCTGGGGAGGGGAGCACTCATTAATAGCATTTCCCTTTTGCTAGGATCTTGTGGAATAAGAGTAAAGTTCTTCTTAAACTAGAAAATTCTATCATGGCAGGTGTACTGTTGACTGTAGTCTCTGCAGTTTCTTCTTTGTATTTGCAAGCTCTGAAAATAAGATGACTTTTCATTCCTCCACAGGGATGGAGATGTAAGGCCCTCGGGGGCTTCCCCACCTCCCTGACTGTGGAGGCTGCCCTGTGCTGGGACGGGCTCTGCTTCTTTCCAGTCAGAGCTCTGGGTCTTTGGAGGGAAGGCTTTTAATTACTTGTCCAGTTTTGTTCAAAATGGTTCTAACATTCCCACAATTCCTTTGGCACAAAGAACTGAACTCCCATTCATAAACGTGATCCCACACAGAAGAGAAAGCTATTACTTTCCCCATTCCCATCTACCCTGCAGAGAAACAGAATAGTTCAAACTGAAGCCAGGCAGTGTGTCCTACAAGAGGGAGTATGTGCTGGGACCACAAATGAGTTGAATAGGTGAGTGAGGAAATGAGCCACCCACTCTTGCTGCTGAGCTTAGAGCTTTTAAAAAGCCATTTAATTAGTTTGCTGGCAGGGCTCAATCTTATACACAACTGTCCCAGAGTCTCTGTGGCGCCTTCCCAGGAGAGAACCTCTTGGAGCAGCTGTGGACATGCTCACACCAGCTCTGCCCACACCCTGGGTTGGCAAGGACAATATGTGCCTGAGGCTGGGCTCAAACTCAATGCTTACTTAGATGACGCTTCTCATGACAGTGTGAGAAGAACACTCCAGACACCATGTGGATAGCAAGGGGAGAAGACAATCTGAATGTACCAGGGGATCTGATCTTTTTTTGCCTCTGTCACACTTTAGTTCTGCACACCTCCTGGTGGTAGGCTCTGATGTCTCACTTGGGATTTGGGGCTCCTTCTCTACACACCCTCTTCCTACCAGCCTTTTTAGTTAGAAAAAAAATCCACTTTATCTCTTAAATTGGTAATAAGGGGCATACTCATATAAAACCTTATGCTCAAATACATGAGCACAGTCACAAATACACACACACACACAAACACCTCTAGGTAAGAATAGGATGACTGAGAAATGGTGTTGGATCTCCGGAGATATCTCAGAAACCATTTCAACAAACAGCAAGGGCCGTGGGTATAGACTGCACTTCTAAGAAGTTGGTGATGAGGGACGGGACAGAAAAAACAGCAGCCTACGGGGTAGGAAGCCCACATGCAATAATCCTACCTGGAGACAAAAAGCACAGACAATGACTGCCTGACCCTACCAGCACCTCAATGCGTGGACTCTTAAAAGATATTTTGCAATATTTTTAACTGCTAGCTTTTCACCAACCCACTTTCTTGATGCTCTTTCAGTCACTTCTAAGTCTTCAGGGTGATTTAGTGATGGTCCCTTTCCTAGAATCTCCATCAGCAAGCTCTCCCACCTGTATTTTCCTGGTGTTTTACAAGGAATTTAAATTTGAAATGATATTTGATGCAGCAGCTCTCGACAACCCTGACAACCCGACAAAAGATTTGCCTGGGTCTGTGAATGGCACCGAATTGCGGACCCTCCCCCTGTTGTTTCCAGCCTTATCTCCCTGGAGAGTGCTAGCTGTACTGTTCTGTGAACATCGGTATGTGTGACACTTGTCTCCAACACATGGAGAATCAAAAATGTCTCAGGCTTGTGCAGCCAAATTGTGTCAGGCTTAACAGGTGGAAAACCCTGGTATTCTCATAAACGAGGTAGCATTTTTCCATTTCCAAAAGTAAGTATTGTGAAAATGTGCTTTCTTTTTCTCAGAGGAAGAATGGAGGAAGAAATTGTCCTATAACTTCCCTCACTTTTCTGATATATTGGACATAGTGAGATTTCAAAAAGAGGCTTCCAAAAACCTTGAGGCTTCCAAATAACTTGAGGCTGGAATACTGAAATTATTTTCAGCCTAAACTTTTCCAGTGAAGACTTGGCAACAGAATCGGTGCATGCATGGACTGATTTTGTAAGTTAAGCTCTGCCAATTATATCCTAGAAATACAATGGGAAATCCTAAGTCTTCTGAAATAGGTCAGAGAAGCAATGCCAGACCCAGAAAGCTAATCACTAGATGTTACTTGGTTGAGGTAATTCTAAGTTAGAAGTTACATAAAACATCACGAATGATTTAACTCTAGCAGGGGTGTCCAAGCCTCAGCCTGAGGGCTGCACGCAGCCCAGGATGGCTATGAGTGCAGTCCAACACAAAATCATAAATTTACTTAATACCTTTTTTTTTGCTGATCAGTTTTGGTTAGTGTTTATGTAATTTAATGTGTGGTCCAAGACAACCCTTCCTCTTCCAGTGTGGCCCAGAGACACCAAAAAGCTGGACACCCCTGCAGGCATTGCAATTTTATTTTGGCCATCATTATGATGTATCATTTTGATACAGACCTGACAGTGGAGAAAATACTATATTCAAGCCCACTATTGCAGCCCTCCTCATCAGGAGGCCTTGGGAGAAACAAGCTCTAATGGTTTCAAAGTATGGCCCAGGGACCCTGAGGTTCCTGAGACCTATCCTGGTAGATCCCTAAGGTCAAAACCATTTTCAGAATTATATAAGAATGCTCTTTGCATTTTT